CATTTACTTCAATTTTTCTCTTAAATCCGATCGGAATATGTGATTTATAATGCTAAATTGATTAATATTTAAAATTGATTAATACTTATTAATTGATTAATACTTAAAATTTTTTATTGGATATCATAATTTCTATATTGGAAATCATAATCCGTATTGGATATTATAATCCATATTGCATATCATAATATATTAGATATCATAATTTTTATATTGGATATTATAATCTATATTGGATAACATCTATGTTGGATATCATATCTATATTGGATATCATTTATATTGGATATCATAATTTCTATATTGGATATCATAATCTATATTGGATATCACAATCCATATTAGATATTACAGTTTATATTATATATCATAATCTATATTGAATATCATAACCTATGTTGGATATCATCTATACTGGATATCATAATTTCTGTATTGGATATTATAATCTATATTGGATATCATAATCTATATTTGATATTACAGTCTATATAACATATCATAATCTATATTGGATATCATAATCTATATTGGATATCACAATCTGTATTGGGTATTATAGTCTATATTATATATCATAATCTATATTGAATGTCATCTATATTGGATATCATCTATATTGGACCCCATAATTTCTATATTGGATATCATAATCTATATTGGATAATACAGTCTATATTATATATCATAATCTATATTGGATATCATTTATATCGGAAATCATAATTTCTATGATGGATATCACAATTTCTATATTGGATATCATAATTTCTGTATTGGATATCAAATCACTATTTATTGGATACCATAATTTATCTCAACTATTATGAAAAATAGTAATTTATTTTAAAAGACAAAACAATTTATCAAATTCTAAAAAGCATTTAATAAACCAATAGCATTTTACTTTCATATCCAATCTAAAATATTCAATTAATTTTTTTGTTTTCACTTACGCAATATTTGTTTACAATTTCTCTTCATGTATTTTCCGGACGGATTGAGAAATTTTGTATAAATTAATGATAGAAGAAAAAGAAGGAAAAAACAATTAAAGCATTTATCTTATTAATCGATTAATTAATTTATTTCATTGCGGAATATATCAAACAAACAAATTTAACCAGTTAGAATATTATCAATCTTTCATTAAGACAAGTTTTATTATCTTTTCGATCATTTCATTTCATTATTATGATAGTGTAAACAAATATAGGATATATTTATCGCTTATAAATATTTGATGTCATCTTATCTTTATCTAAATTTTAATTATTTAATCATTTCATAATGAAACCAATGATTCATTTTGTTTGTGTTTGTTTGTTTATTTATTTATTTATTTATTTATTTATTTATCCAATGTTTTCACCACGAAATTACGCAATAACTTTTACCATTCGTTGATTTTGTTGCTGTTTTGAAAAATTCTAAAAATGGCATTGTTTACTCTAATAACTGTTGTTTTGAATAATTTGTATTTTAAACAATTGAAGCTAATTGTTTACTATTTTGTTTGTTAATTTTTGAATCAAATAATCCGCCAAACAGTCATTATAATGTTTAACAAGCAAAAGCGACAAAATCTTTTAATTGTAAACAAATTTAGAGATAAACAAAAACAAAAAAAAAGGAGGCAAAATTATTAAAAATAAAAATGAGAAAATTAGCTGTCAATAAGAAAGCTTCAAAATTTGAAGTATTTCCTTTCCTTTTTTCATTCTTCTTTTCTTTAGCAATTCGATAATAATATTAAATGAAAAAGGTAAAGATAATTACAGTAAGATAAGCAAGAAAAAGTTTCATTCCATAAGCATGCAACTATTAATTGATTAATTAGAAATCATTGATTATTTAATTAATTGACCAGATGTTATTTAATCAATTGATTAAATATTATTTAATAAATTGACAAATATTGTTTATTTAATTAATTAAAAAATGACAGCTATCACTTATTACTTAATTAATTGATTAAATAGCAGTAACATTAAGAAATGTTTTAAATAATAAATGAAAATGTGCTATAAAATTAATTGATCGCGTAAATGATTTAAGAAAATTCGTGCTAGCAAACAATTTTGATGAATATTTTTTCACTTATTAATAATGCTTAGAAATGAAATAATTAAAATTTTAATTAACAAGAAATTAATTTCTTCGTAACGAATTAATTACTATAAAATTATTATACTATATAGTAATGTTTAGAAATGAAATAATTAAAATTTTATTAATTGAAATTTAATTTCATCTTATTTGTGGAACGAATTAATTGCTGCAAAATTATTATATTTAATAGGAATAATAAATACACGAAACAGATGAATAGGTAAATACCTGAAATGCATTTATTTCTTTTGTTTAGGAAATTTGGTGACAGACAAAGAGAAAAAAACGAAATCACGGAATTAACTTTTTTCCTTCTTAAATTTATATTTGTGAAAAAAGTGTGTTATTTCTTCCGTCAATTTTATTTCTTCAACATCGTTGCATATTATATGATAATTTTGAAATAGTTAAAAATCATATAAATATATATTAAATGACAGTTTCGATTACTATTAACCGTTTCTATTACTATTAGCTATTGCTATTTTTATTAGCTATTGCTATTACTATTAGCAATTGTTTTCTGAAAATTTCAATTCATTCATTTTAGAGAATATTTATGATAAAATTTTTTATTACAAAATTTTCACTTTTATTATATTTATAAAAAATACCATTTGAATTAATCAATCCTCTTATCAAATCATTTATCAGTAAAACAATTCCTCATGTGTTTAGTGTAGCACAAAATCAATTCAATCCTCTTATCAAATCATTTATCAGTAAAACAATTCCTCACATATTTAATGTAGCACAAAATCAATTCAATCCTCCTATCAAATTATTTATCAGTAAAACAATTCCTCATGTATTTAATATATCACAAAATCAATTCAATCTTCCTGTCAATCATTTATCAGTAAAACAATTCCTCACATGTTTAATGTTTCACAAAATCAATTCAATCCCCCTATCAGTCGTTTATCATTAAAACAATTCCTCACATGTTTAATGTATCACAAAATTAATTCATTCCTTCTATCAATCATTTATCAGCAAAACAATTCCTCATATGTTTAATGTATCACAAAGTCAATTCAGTCCTCTTATCAAATCATTTATCAGTAAAACAATTCCTCAAAAGTTTCAAATATCACAAAATAGTAAACATTTCAAAAATATTTCAATTATTTCACATTTGAATAATTAAAATGTTTTTTTTGTTTTTCGAACTTTTGGTAATTATCAATTTTTTTTAATATATCACATATATTTTACTTCTTCTATGCTAATATTACAATAAATGTTATTAACAATTTTATCATTACATCTTCTAATCGCTATGATAAAAATGATAGCAATCAGTAGGTTGCGTTATTTATCACTATTTATTAGATATTTCTAATTAATTTGGACCATATTTTCATCATTTATTCGTTTTCATTAAAAGAGGAGTGATTTTTTGATATTTGCCAGCTTTTTTTCGTTTACTATTTAAAGAAAATTTTTTTCATAACCTAAATTATTGACAGCATTTTTTAGAATTCATTATATAATTAATTAATTAAAACTTTATTTATCCATTCTTTATTTTAGCATAAAAATGATTATTTAATTTGTTAATGAATTTTTGAGAGAGAGACAGTTTTTTAAAGGGAAAAATTGCGCTCGATAATCGTCATCATTTACTATAAACTAAACTAACGTTACAATCCATTTGTTGTATTCTTGTCATTCTCTTCACTATTTAAACGAATCAGACGAAATTTTACTTCACTTGAAATTGAGCACTAACCAGTCAATCAACCAGTTTATGCCATTAGCACTTCTCGTCAAATTGCTCCCGATCAGTAGTAGTCAGTTCAGACAATCAGTTACTGAGACTTAGTGAGCCAACTATCCATATTCAACCTCATACTGATCAAATAAGATAAGCCGGTCTTAGTTAGTTAGTTTGTTAGTTAGTTAGTCATTGAATGTAAGTTTACCTATCCAAAATAAACTTTACCTTACTTCTTGTTGACATTTTTTATTCTCTTTTTGATTGACAATAAATTGAATAAACGATTGAAAGTGTATTTTATGCGAAATTTATAATTATCGTTCACCAACTTTATCTACCTTCAACTTTTTTTTTCCACTTTCATTAAAATTAAATTTAATTAAAATTTTTAATTATTGTTTAATTAAAAATTAAAAAATGAAAGAGAAAAAGAAATGATAGAGAATTATGAAGAAAAAGAACCTTTTTTTATCCACATAGCAGCTGTAAAGAAGGAATAGAAAAAGTTTTGTTTTTGAACAAAAAGAATTTTGATTTGTTGTAGCTGACAAGAAAAGAGTTCCGCGTATAATTCTTTAAAAATTAATTTTCGAAATAATTCTTATTGGTGGCAATTTGTTTTATTTATAGATGTTAACTATTATTTTAATTAATTATTACTACTATTAATATTATTATTATTATATTATTTATTATTATTGCTATTATTATTAGTTATTAATTATTTAAATGATAAATATGTAGCACTTTCATTTATAGTTTTTCTACAAAAATATTGTTAATTTACAAATTGTCTACAAACTACCTTCTAAAAAATTTCCATCCAAATACTCCTCCACCTTTAATCGATTTTGAATTTCATTTCTCTATTCAAACTTTTATTCATTCACTTTAAAAAGGAAAATGAATAATTCAAAATATCATACTATTTTCAAATTTTGTTATGTTACAGTGGTATTAGTGTATGAGTTGAAAATTTTATTTGTCTATCAATTGTGTTAGATAATTGCGATAGACACTTATCAATTATGATAGATAATTGTGATAGATAATTGTAGTAGACACTTATCAATTATGATGAATAATTGTGATAGGTATTTTCAAAATTTTATTTAATTTTATTGAAAATCCTTTTTTTTAAAGAATACTTTGTTAATTCTCAACAATGCGAACAATGTTGAAAAATAAAGGTAATGCAACAATGAAGCGTTGGTTACAGTGGAAATTTCAACTTTGGCTTACTTATCTATTAGCTATGATATTCGCATCGATCAACAATACAGTTGCTAACAGTAATTTGTCAACAAACCTGAAAAAATCATCAATTCCAAGTAACAGGTAAGCAGAGGAACAAATTTTTGTTTATCCGATGATTCAGTTCTTTTACAGTATATCGGTTGTATCCAGAAATCAAGCAGCAGACGGAATTCCTTCAGAACTTACTAGTAAATAATACTAAGGTAAGCTAATTTTTGGTTGTTTCTTTCTTTTTAATTATATCGATTTTAATTTAATTTGAATTTAATAAAAAGGAATGACAATTAAATAATATCAATTACAAATTGCATTGGGAAATTTTGAAACAAACTATTTAAAAACAAATGATAGTTAATTACTCTAGCACCTATTTTAAGCTAATTAAAACATTACCTCATTAAAAAAAATAGTTTGTTTAATAAAAAATTTTGTAGCTAGAGTAATTAATAGATTATCCTAGTTAGAATGACCATCAGATTATCCTAGTTTGTGTAACCATCGGTCAGATTATTCTAGTTTACATAACCATCGGATTATCCTAGTTAGAATGACCATTAATGTGCATATTATATACCTAGTTTACGGAGCTACTTACACTCGCGATGTATATTTACTTCTAATTTTGCTAGCTAAAAGCTTAATATTCAAATTTAAATTAAAAAAAGTATTTGAGGAAAATTTTAATTTAGGATTGATAGAGATGATGAAAATTTGCAACGAAGTTTAAAAAAAAATTTTCTTATATATCTTATCATCAGCTAATCACTCAATCCATTTCAAGCATGATATTTTAGCTAGATTTTTGGAAAGCACCAAGTGTAGTTGGTAGTCAAGTACATGTGATGGTTCAACAAGAGATGAGGGAGAAATTTCTGCGCTCAATGAAAGCGCATAATATTTCATATTCAATTATGATTAACGATGTTGAAGAGTATGTTGTTAAAATATTAAATTGAAACATTATTTAAAGAAGCTATTAACAAAATTATGTAGTGATAGAAAAATTAAACATTTCAATTTCACAACTTCAACCATTTAATTTGCTTTCAGTTTTAAAAATTAATCAATTTAAAGAGCAAATTAAATTCTTAATTTTAAAAACAATTTAAATTAAATTTTTGGATAACGCACGTATAAAAAATTAGATAAAAATGATATCCTAAATTTTATAATTCGTTCGTAATTTTAGGTATTCAATAAATTATTTCCAACAAAAAATTACTTCTTCAAATTCATTCCAAAATTAAAAATTTATGGAAGTAAAATTGTGCATCTTTGATCGAAAAATTTTAACGACTTGTGTTACAAAATTATTCATAATTTCTTCATTCAAACTTATACATTAGAAATAAAAGCAAACATTTCGATCATGAGTTTGATCATTTAGTTTTTGATAATTTATTTTTTATAAATTTTATTTTAGAGTAACAAATGATTTCAAAATGATCCTACAGTTAAGAAGAGTGTGAAGAATAAAGAATGAATTCAATTTTTACTTGCAAATTTTTTCTGCAATTTTTCTGCATCAAATTTTCTGCAACGCAAAACACTTCTGTGTTTTGTGTTGCAGAAAATGTTGATCTCCATCTAATATGAATCGATCCTATCATTTTTGATAATTTCAAATTTTGAAATTTGAGAAACGTCTCTAATTAGCCGACGAATTTTATAGGAAAATAAGCAAATTACGGGATAAAGCTAGCAGGCTACGTCAATATAATTGGTTACGAGATGATCCGTCATCATCACGTCGAGTCTATTTCAATTTGGCTCAATATCATTCATATGATGAAATTATCAATTATCTCTATCAATTGAATGCTGCATATCAGGATCGTATAATAGTGAGAACTATTGGTCTCACTCATGAAAGACGACCGATAAAATTAATTACGGTACGTGAAGTTAAGAATGATTAAAAAGATTCGATAAGAAATCATATTTTATCATCGTATTAAATTTGCTGTAATTCAAATTTTAAATTTTGATAAAAAACATAAGTATTAAATTTAGGTAACTTTCAGATTGGTAAGCCAAGAAATTTCCCAAAAGCTGGCATTTGGATAGATGGTGGTATTCATGCTCGTGAATGGGTCTCTCCAGCCACTGTATTGTATATAATTGATCAAGTAATTTATTTATTTTCCTATCTTAACGTCAAATATTTTCCACATATAATTTAAACACTATAAGTAAGCTTCAGTTACTTCAGAGTGAAATTTTTCAGTGAGAGCATCAAAATTAACCCTCATAGAATATTGGTAATTCAAAATTTGTTAGATACAATAAATTTATTATAGAATTAGGTATATAAAATTAGATATATATTATATATATAATTTACCAGGTATAATAAATTTATTATACCTAGTAAATTTCGAATTACTAATATTCTATGAGAGTTAATTAATGTAATTTTGAATTAGCAATATTCTATGAGAGTTAATTAATATAATTTCGTATTAGCAATATTCTATGAGAATTAATTAATGTTGATATTGTTGAAGAGTTTTAAAGAAAATTTTGAATTAAAGATAAATGATTCGATGATTAATTTAACAATTGCTAGAAACTTCAATTATATCATAATGACAAATCAAACAATTCAATCATTTTGTTCAATTTCTTTAGTTTCGCATTAATTTCTATTAAATTAACATTCAACAATTAAAATGCAATTTTTTCAAATGTCAATCTTTTAGTTAAATTAGTTTAAAATAAACATTCAACAATTAAAATGCAATAATTACCAAACGTTAATTTTTCAATTAAATTAATTTAAAATAATTGAAAAATGAAAAGAGAATTGTTTTAATTGTTTAATTGTTTTAATTAAACAAATATTTTAGTAGACAAATGATTTCAATTAATTTTGAAATGATTATTTTGCATAATTTTCTTCTTCAGTTTTCTATTCTTCTCTTTTTACTTAAATCCCTCTCTTTCTAATATTTAAGCAAATGAATTATATCATACCTTAGAGGAGCAAACTTAATAAAATATTCTCAAGTTCATCTCGTTGACCCGAGAACTCTCGTCGAGTGATCGAGTAGCTAAAGTTTTTCCATATCATATTCTCTTATCATATATTCCAATGTCAATGCTTTACTGAACTTTTGATTATCAATCACTATGTTAAAACATTTTATGCATTGCGTAAAATTCTCACATATTTGTCTGCGGCAAAATATTTGCTTTAGCAGTAATACTAAAATTCCCGTCCTGCGATAAGCAGACATTCTAATTCCGGTTGTTGCGGATTGATAACATGACAATATTTTCAATTTATGATTATCAATTATTCCGCTCAATGAGCTCTTCAATCTTACATAAATTAATTAGCAATTTATTTAGTAATACTAAAGACCTTTCCTGTCCTGCGATAAGCAGACATTCTAATTCCGGTTGTTGCGGATTGATAACATGACAATATTTTCAATTTATGTTTATCAATTATTCCGCTCAATGAGCTTTTCAATCTTACATTTATAAATTAGCAATTTAATTAATTTAAAACCATCTAATTAATTAATCTTATACTTGATCAAGAAAAAATTACAAATTTTTGAATAATTAATAAATGATAGGAAATTTAATTTTAATCTTTATTCATTTAAATTATATTTAACATACTGTTGTGAATTTTATTTTGTTTTGGGAGAGCTTTAGTTTGACAGAGTTTAAAGGTCAATTTCTCTTTTTAGGAGAGATTTCATCTTGGACATTATGGAGGATTGCAAGTGATTTATCACTCTAAGGATTTTCTTTACTCGTTGATCTGAGCGAATATTTCTGGGATTATTCGTTGAAGTAGTAGTCCTGAAGGGGATCATTTGAATGTAGACGATAGTAGTGTAGTAGATTTGATAACATTGATTGATAAGTATATTGTAACAAAACGTAAGTCGAAGAACACAGAGTAGAAAACACAATCTGATAAAATCTTATCTGATACAATGATAGATATGTGAGCATAAAAAGAAGAGATGCATAAAGGGAAAACTGATTACAGCATAATCATTGAATGCAAAATTAGTTCAGACTAAAAATATTTCCATGTGAATTGATTTCTGATATTTTAAGTACCAAAGATAAGAATGGCTATCAAAAATGGATGAGAATTAGTTGAATGACTCATCATTTTAGACATTTTAACATTCTTCTTATTATTTGAATATATTTATTTCGGTTTTCGACAAATGAGAAAATTGCAGAAGCAAATCAAATTACAGCACTAAACAATATTCTTTTATCTAACAATGAAGTAGCTATTAAGGATTACGCGAATATACTGCGCTATAATTTATAAATATTTCGAAACAAAGATTTATATTTAATATAACTGGGATTTGATCAGAAAGTTTTCTGTGTTGTAATTCATGTTATACGTTTGCAATGCATGCACGCATATGGTTTGCACATTATCAATTCAAAAACTTGCAGCTGGTAACGCAATATGATATAAATCCCCAAATTCAACGTCTTGTTGACGAGATGGATTGGTTCATCGTTCCGTTGCTTAATCCTGACGGTTATGAATATACCCGAAGTAGTACGAATCCGGAAGTTCGACTTTGGCGTAAAAATCGTTCACCGATGACTTGTCGGGTTTTACAGAATGGTATTTTCTCGTTGCTTACTGTCAAATCCATAAATTCAAAGAAAAATCGTGAATTTGATTCTATAAGCTTCCTACTGTTCTAGTAATCTCTCATGGATGATGCTTATTGTAGCCCTACTAAGCAATGATTCAAATTTTCGCAGTACATAGCATTTGTTATTGACAGCCAACGAATACATTATTATTTGAATCTTCAAATAAAAGAAAGGGAATAGAAATGAAACACGCCAAAATTATGATATCCGAAGATTTGAAAGCATTCCAATACTGTAAGCTGAAATAACTGAAGTTTCAAAGGTCATACTTTAGTTTCAAAGATCATACTGTATTAATGATTTTTCACGATCAATCATTAATAATTTAAAAATGGTTAATTTTAGGGATTTTTTCACAACCTCGACAAGAATGTTGTCAAGGTGTTGACTTAAATCGAAATTATGATTGGCAGTACGGTAGAGAAGGTTCATCCAGTGATCCATGTTCGGAAATCTATCAAGTTCGTCAACCATTGCTATGCACTGTTATCAAAGACATATCAAAAAATTACACTCTGATAACTGCTACTAATCAATTCATAGGCTTCTTATATTGATAAAATCAATTTTCAACGATATTTTTTTTCAACTCATTTATGTATTTTTGTACAAACTATTCAAATTTAAATTAATGTTAGTGTAAAGAATAATTTTAATTTGTTTTGACGAAAAAACGTAAAATAGTTTTTATTATAGAAGTATTTTAAATTTGTAATTGAGTTGCTATTGTTTTACAGATTAATTATATCATTAATGATTTCTTCTCTTTTGTTTTTGTGCCAGATTGATAACTATTTGCGCAATTCTTCTAAATTGTGGAAAAATTAGCGAAAAGAAAAAATGCGACTCTATTATTGTTTGTTTATTTTTTATTGTTGTTTATTTACAATATTTGTTTACTTGTTTATTATTAGTTTGTTTAGCATGCATTTTGCAGGGCCCATCTGCATTCAGTGAACCAGAAACACGAGCCGTGCATAGGTTCATTTCCAAACGACGTGATACGATTAAAGCATTCTTAACATTTCATAGTTATTCGCAAATTTTGATGTACCCATTTGGACATCGCCAACGAACATATACAACTGATGTTGCCGATTTGGTTAGCTATTTTCACGTAACATATGGATGACTCTCATGAATGAACTCGTATGATATGAATCCTACGGATATGAAGAAATCATACTGATTCACATTTCTAAAACTTCACTCAGAAGTAATTGTAACGATTGGCAAAGTGATAGAAAGCCCAATATTATTGAGTGGTTAAAAGTTATTGAGAGCAAATAATTCTTTATTGCAGAGAAATACAGCATTGCAAGCAGCAAATGCTTTACGTGCTGCATATGGTACGGAATATACGGTTGGTACCGGTGCTGACACCTTATGTTAGTTTTGCTATTTAACAAAATTCATTTCAAACTTATCAATGGTAGATTTTGTTTCGATCATTGCATTTTCTGTCCCTAAATTTGCTGGACAAAATCGAAGCTTATTTGGGATATTACCTAAGAATTCTAAAAATTCAGGGCTTTAAGTGAGAATTCTCAGGAATTCCTGTTTGGTAATAATACTGAAAAAAACTGACAAATTTTCAAGTAGCTTTTTTTTTCTTTCTTCCAGATCCAGCATCAGGCGGGGCAGAAGATTGGGCGAAAGGTCGAATGGGAATAAAATATTCATATTTATTTGAACTACGACCAGATGGAGAAGTTTGGAATGGTTTTCTGTTAGATGAAAGTCAGGTAAATCAGCAAATTGAAGTTTCTTTTTTTGTTATTTATCTTTAAAATTCAATTTCGTTCCTAAATATTTTACGGCATATTTTCATCAATATATTTATCATAGCATTGATTTTATACTACCAAAATTTTTTTTTCTTTTTTGACTAAAATTTCCTAAAAATAAACAAAACAAAGAGCTACAGCAATAAGAACAATAAAGTATCTTGTCGTAGCAAAAGTTAACCGTAAATGTTATTGTTCGAGCATTTTGTCGTAACAAAAGTTTACTTACCGCAAATGTTATTGTTCGAGCATTTTGTCGTAACAAAAATTTACTTACCGCAAATGTTATTGTTCGAGCATTTTGTCGTAACAAAAATTTACTTACCGCAAATGTTATTGTTCGAGCATTTTGTCGTAACAAAAATTTACTTACCGCAAATGCTATTGTTCGGACATTTTGTTATAACAAAAATTTACCGCAAATGTAATTAATCGTGGAAAGAAACATAATTTTAAATTTCATTAATATTTTCTAAAATAACTCTTTGAATTTGTTAAATTTAAAAAAAATTAAATTATCCATAGATATGCTAAAATAATTAATTTTTTCTTACAGATAATACCAACAGCACGTGAAGCATTCGAAGCCGTAAAAGTGATTGCGAATCGCGCATCTGCGATGTTTACACCAAAAAATTTGCCGGATGAAACAAAAGTAATTGTATGAAATTATTTGTAATTATTTTCGTATTAAAATTATTCCTAATTAATAATTATTCCTAATTATTTTCATATTCTTAATTCTTCCTAATTACTTTTATATTCTTAATTTTTCCTAATTAGTAGTAAATTTATAAAATCAAAAGAAGATTTATAAGATATAAATTAAGTTGACATATCGACGGATAATTTATCTTTTTTTTAACATATTCTAATTTATCTTTTTTGGATAATTTAAAATTACTTACAAAACTACGGAAAAACAATTTTTGATCTGAGTCTAAAACAAAGCATACATCAAATTTGTCGTTATAATAAAAGACTGGTAAGTATTTCGATCATTTTGATAAAATAAAGCAGCTATAGAATAGATTTAGGAAAATTTTGTATCCTTTCGCCTTTCTAAACTAATATATCGTTTTGTACTTTTCCTGAATTTTTGCTTTTTTTAAAATTATTTTGCAAATTTTTTCCGTTTTTAAAACGATCCCTGTTCGCTGTCAATATATTGTTTTACTAAAACATCGTTAATTTGTCACAAAAAATGATATAATTTGATTAAACGGAAAATGAAACTTTTGTCGGAAACAATTCCTGAAATTTATTGTTCAACTTATATCAATGGTATCGGTTAAAAGGATCACACTGATAAGTTGAAATCAAACGAATATTCTTAATTTTGCTTGATGTATTGTCAACATAAATCAATGTAATGATGTTCGTCGAAAAAAGAAATGTTAAAATTTAAATAAATCCATTTTGATAATGTAAAAACTGATAATTTCGATTATTACGAATACTTCTCTTAGCGATCATTATTCCAATAAATTATTTAATAGTATATACTTTAAAGGTAAGCGATGTAGAAAATGAAAATTTGATTGTTTAATAATTGATTGACTATTAAGTATCTATTACGAAAATATTTTTCTTAGCGATTAATAGTATAATTAATAGCGATGAATGATATAGTTAATAGTATAATCAATCATTTAATGATATATACTTTAAAAGCAAGCGATGTAGAAAATGGAAATTTGATTGTGTAATAATTAATTGACTATTAAGTATCTATTACGAAAATATTTTTCTTAGCGATCATTGTTCCGATCAATTATTTAATGATGTATACTTTAAAGGCAAGCGATGTAGAAAATGAAAATTTGATTGTTTGATAAATTGATTGACTTATTAAGTATATTAGCATAAAACAATTAATTTAAAGAATTTAATTTCCAAAAAGATTTTTGTATATTCAAATAAATTCATATGAACACTTATCATAAACTTACATTTTACATCATATCCGAACAAAATTTAACGTATTTATATCTTAATTTAATTTTAATGTATTTCTCTCATTAATAATTTTCCTTTTTTTTTTTTTTAAAAAAACTAAAATGGAAATGGTAAAAATGAAGAAAAATTTTAGGAATGCACTGATACTGAACCATTCTGTGCCTATTGGACTCAACACGGTTATTGCGCCACTTGGGAAGTTATGCGAAGAATTTGCGCACGTTCATGCGGTTTTTGTTAATGGCTATCATTGTGTAAAAATTACTTAAAATAATTTGTTTACATGAAATTGTATAAATATTTATTTTTTTGTTGTCATAACAAAAACAATTTTGTTAGATCAGCAATTACTTACTTACTTAATTACTTAATTACTAATTTACTGACATATCAAAATAGTTGTTTTTTTTGTTAGCAAAAATCTTTTGCAAATAATCTGTTTCATTATCTCAAACAATAATTGAAATTAATTTTGTAGCTTATATGAAATTTTTGGAATTGAATATTTGTTTTTGTTATAAGATCAAGTTTTTGTTATTAAAGGAACTTTTATAATTAGACCCGGTTTTTTTCTCCTCCTTTTTTCCTGATACGAAAATAGAACAGAAAAACGGAAAAAGATAATGAAGTGTTAGATTTAATTGAAGGTATTTTTCGGGTTAGAAAAATATGTGTTTAATCTGATACAAATTATCAATTCAAATTAACGCTTGATTTCATTGTATTTTTCATTCATCAATATTTCAGCTATTTTCTTTCCAACTACACACCCAAACTTCATGTTCAGTTTTATAAATTTTATGCTTGATTAATTAGCATTATTGTAATATTTTATTTTAGGATTAAGTAATTAAGTAATTGAGGAAGTTCATTGATAAGAAAAGATATATCGCACATATTAATGAACCAGTAGACGATAATTCAGCATTTGTGGCTGAATTCATTTTCACCGTTTTAAATTTTTAATCATATTTAATTTGTGTATATTCTATTTTAACATTTTCAGGTTTTTGTTTGTTAATTAATTAAAAAGCATAATGATTTTTCTCAATTAATTTTTGCTTAAAATAAAGGCAATTTGTAATTTGCCAAATTCTTTCGATGAAAATTTGTCGTAAATTCGTTTTTCTTTTCATAACACAACAAATTCGAATAATTTGGTAACAATAATTATTGTTGGATAATTTTTGCTAATTATGATAAAATATTCTAATGCTTGAAATAATTTCCATTCCATGATAATTACTAAATAAAATTAAAACAAAAAAGTGGAACATAAGACAATAAAAGTAAGAGACGTAAGACAATAATAAAAGTAAGTAAGACAATTAAAGAAGAATTAAATTAAATAAAATTTTAAAATTACAAAAATTTAAGATCGAAAAAGAAATTAGTGAAAAATGAGAAATACCTTTTGCATACGATAAATTAATGTTTTAAATTCATATATCATTATCATTTTTTAAACCCGATAATAATTTATTGCATTTTTCATCATTTTCCCTTCTTTTTAATATAATTCGATCATATACTATGAGGTATGTATGTGACAGTCCTTTGAAATTACCTACCAGAAAAAGATGTTAATTTTTTTTCATGAAAATGAATTTATGAATTTTGTTCATTAATCATCATATATTGAATCATCGAATACATGATATTTTCATAGTGATACTATGAAAAAGTTATTTTTAAAAAAACTGTCGTAAAAAATCAATTAGTGTAGAAAATTAACTCATTCATTTTTTAGGAAATGTTTTTTCGATTTTATTCTTATTTATAAAGAAATTGGATGAAGAAAAAATTGTGAAAAAATTGAAAATAAATTATCAAATTTTAATTTACGTACGTCATTGTTGAATATGTAAAAGAAGGAATTATTCATTTGATGAATTTATTGAAGTGCCGATATGAATATTAATTTCTTAACGACAACTCTGCTCAAAATTCTTGTTGTTACAGAATAAAATCAACCATTAAATAATTATTCAACGATATAGGTGTATTATAATGTCTTCTTTCATAATTGTTGCAGTAAATGTTAATAAATATTAGCAAAAATTTTTAATGGTTCCATCTAATCCATTAACACTGATAAAATACTCATAAAAGCTTGATCCGGAATTACGGAATTAATGTCTTCTTTGCAGTTTTTAAAAATAAGTTGTTTTATAATTCCATTAAATTTAAATTTAATTTTTTACATAATGCTCCTAATAATACCGGAAAGTTTTATAATATCAAAAAGTTATGCTGCAATAATACAGGAAAAGAAAACTGATGTTATATTATGAGGACAGTACGAGAAAAAGATAAAATATTCATAAAAGCTTCATCCGGAATTACGGTAAAATGCTTCTAATAATACCGGAATGTTTTATAATATCAAAAAGTTATGCTGCAATAATGCAGAAAAGAAAAATAATATTATATTATGAAGATAGTAGGAGAAAAGGATGATATATTCATAAAAGCTCCCACCGGAATTACAACAAAATGCTCCTAATAATACCGGAAAGTATTAAACTATCAAAAAGTTATACTGCAATAATGCAGAAAAGAAAAATGTTATTTTATGAAGATTAGTATGAGATAAAGAAAAGGTTTAATTTATCAATTTATCATATATCACTTATCATAAATACATCCATTCTCTCATTTAATTAATAATTCAAAAAAAAGGGAAAAAATTATTTTTCTTTGTTTTCCAATAAATTTCATCTTTTTTTTAACTTCAAGTTATTGATTAAAAATTGTTATTATTCACGAAATTGTAAACATGTTTTTCATATCTAAAAATTTCTGCAGTTTTTTTTGCAGTTTTTAAAAATAAATTTGTTTAATAATTCTATTAAATTTAAATTTAATTTTTAACATGAAATTTTTAATTAATTAAAAATTTTAATTTCTACAGTGTTCGATAGGTATATCAAATGACAGGTACATATGTATGATTTCTTTGATAAAATTAAAATAAAATCTAACAAAATTATCATCGTCATCACCATCATCATCATCATTATTGATCATATAATCGTGGCGTTCGTTTTGTCGTCTTCGGCAACGTTTGTCATTGATCATTTCGAATTGCCATTTTGTGTTCACCAAAGGCCATCATTCCTCATACCTTTTCATCATTCATTCATCCGTAACCCTTTCCTTTCTTCCTACTTTTCCTCTCCTTTAATTTCACTTAATATTTTCGGCTGGTTATTATCATCATTATCATATCATCGTCGGCATCATCATCATCATCATCATCATCATCATCACACTATTATAATTGTTGTCATTTCATTGCTACCTGTATTAACGACAACACCTAACGTTATTTTCAACAATTATCAGTATTTTATTTTTTTGAGTTATTGCTGCTATTGAGTTGTAATAGCGTTGTTGTTGTTGTTGTTAGTGGTGGCGGTGGTGATGATGGTAGTGGTGGTGGAGGCGGTGATTGTGATAATAATTAGCTAAGGAGGTGGTATTGGCACGAATGCAGATCAAATTCTACTACAATATTTATGGAGCAACAGCAACAGCAACAACAACTACAACAGTCGATGATTGTAATCTACATATTACTGATAATTTTAAATCACACAACGATAACTATAGCTGATAATAGTATATCAGGCAAATACAATTATAATATTACTTACTATGACAATAGCAGCTATAACAATAATAGCAACAGCAATAACAACACTATCAATAATTTCTATGTTTCTGATGAGCGTTATTCAGTTCTACGACTACGCACCAATGATCTCAACCAATTCTTATCTGTAAAAAAATTGATCGAATCATCCGTTGATCTCAAAGTAAGTTGCTTTTCTACTAATTAAATTTACCTTAAAAAATTTCATCCTTTCTTTGTTTCTTTTGTTAATTAAAAAATTAGAAATTTTTGCGAAGTTAAAATTAAAATTAAAATTTTTATTAAATTAAAATTTAAATGCAACGGAAAAAAATAATGAAATGAAAGAGTAAAAATTTTCTTTTTGATTTTATAACAATCGATGAAGTGATGTTAATTGAAATTATATCCATCCATAAAATATTATTGAGTAAATTTAATATGTACGTAAATATTTTTGAAACTGAAATTCAACAAACATATTAATTCATGATTAGAATTATTCCCTCAAATTATTTGTTAATGATTTTTTTGTCTCATTTTGAAGTATTGATGAAAGTTTATGGAGTAATGAAATAAATTGAAAATAAAAAAAGGGTCAAAAATCGATCAGCTCACAACATGAATAAGACTAATCAATGAAGCTAATTTAGAATTTCAACAGCTTTTGGCATTTCATTAGAAAATTTTTCACTTACTATCGTAATATTGATGTATGTTTAATAACCGTTTTCCGATATTGTTCCTATACCCAGTATGCTATTGTCTGTAGCCGTCCTGAATCCAATATACTGTTGGAGCTTATTCAGATATTTCAACAGCTTTTGGCATTTCATTAGAAAATTTTTCACTTACTATCATAATATTGATATATGTTTAATAACCGTTTTCCGAGGTTGTTCCTGAATCCAATATACTGTTGGAGCTTATTCAGATATTTCAACAGCTTTTGGCATTTCATTAGAAAATTTTTCACTTACTATCGTAATATTGATGTATGTTTAATAACCGTTTTCCGATATTGTTCCTATACCCAGTATGCTATTGTCTGTACCCGAATCTATCGTATATTCAATTTTCTTATTATCTTCTTCCGACGACTATTATCAATTTTTAAAATATAAAATACAAATTGATTCTAATTCGCTAAAAAACTTTGTGATCAAAGTATTCTTGAAGTGTTTACAGCAAATCTTTGAGCAATTCTAACTTTTAGCTATTAATAAATTTTCTTAAGAAATAATTCAAATTTTAAAAATCATTTTAAAATTTTATGTGATAAGAAAATCGAATAGCAATTGCACAAATCATATTTAAAAAAAAAGCTAAATATCATTTCCAAATTTATTTCTTTACATTATATGAAAAAATTCCACATAATTACCACATTACATTTCACCTTTAACCTTTCTTTTAACCTAAAAAATAGAAAAAAGATTTGAAATTGTTTATATTCTTATAATCGATAATTCCACATAATCACCACATTATACGAAGAAATCAAACATTTCACCTTTAACCTTTCATTTAACCTAAAAAATAGAAGATAAGGTTTGAAATTGTTTATATTCTTATAATCGATAGTTTCATATGAAATTTAATTTTCTCTTAAAATTAGAAAAATTTTAACTGCTCTTTGATGTTCCGTTTCTTTCTTTCATTTTTTATGATTTCTTTTTATGATTTAAAATTTCGTTCTTTTTTACGATCCGAACTTATTGATTATATCTTTTAGCTGATTCATTATTTAATTTCAGTAAACGAGTTCTTATTTCATTTCATATTATTTTATTTCATAACTTTAATCAGAAATTTAAAATGAATTTAAATAACAATTTGATGAATTGGAAAAAAGGAACGAAATAATTTATAAGAAAAGGATAGAAGAGGAAATTACAGAAATTGATATATTTTGGTTGATTTGTTTTAATTTCATTAAACGGGTTTTATTTCATTTCACATGCTTTACTTTCATTTTTACATCTTTGCTTCTGCTCCTTTACTTTTGCAATTTAAAAATGATTTCAAATACCAATTTGATAAACCGGAAAAACGGAAAAATTATTGAATAGAAGAAAATAGATTTATAATTAAATAGACGGATTTCAAATATCAACTTGATAAGCCGGAAAAACGGAAAAAATAATAAGTGAAAAAAATAGATATAAAAGTAAACAGAAGGATTCCTTTTATTTACTTTTATATGAACTTGATAAACCGGAAAAACAGAAAAATTAATGAATAAAAGAAAGTAGATATAAAAGTAAATAAAAGGATTTCAAATATCAACTTGATAAAACGGAAAAACGGAAAAAATGATGAGTGAGAAAAACAGATTTATAAGTAAATAGAAGAAACCTACGGAAACTAATTAATCGAAACAAAATCTTAAGTGTTCCAGAAACTCAAAAATTTTTGCTGAAAAATGAAGAAGGGTGGTAAATAATGCAAATTAAAATCAGGTTTAAATGAAAATTTCAGGTGAATTTCTGGAAAATAGCACGAGATGTAAACGATATAAGTGATGTTATGGTACCAGCAAGTGCTATGAAAACAGTTTTACGTTTATTAGATATGGGAAATATTAATGCAACGGTTACTATTCCTGATGTTGAACGGTTACTTCTTTCCTTTTATTCGTTCAATTTTATTTTCAATCATTCCTAACATATTCCAACAAAAATGAAGAATGAGCAATTTAGTAATTCAAAAATAGAATTGAATATATGAAATCAATAATGAAATGTTGAAATAATTCAATTTGAAAAGAAATAATTCCGAAAATTTCACACTCTTATTGTTAAGTAATTATTTCAAATGTATTTGTAATTTTCAATGGAAATATTTCAAACATTCTTTGCTATCATTCATTCCATCATTTTTGTTGAAATATAATATTTGATTCTTTTATCATTTCCAATTTGAGTAAATTATTTTAAAATAAAATTTCGGTATGTTTTTTTTTTGTCCGAAATTTAAATTATAAATATTAATTGTTGATTATTTATGAATAAATTAATTATTATTAATTGATTGCAAATATAATATATGATTTTTATTATTTTCAATTTGATTAATTTTAAAATATAATTTCAATAAGTTTTTTTTTTGGTCGAAATATAAATTGTAAATATTAATTGTCGATTAATTGTGGATAAATTAATTATTGCTCATTATTTACCAATATATTATTTGATTTTAATTATTTCCAATTTGATGAATTATTTTAAAATAAAATATCATTAGATACTTTTTTGTTCAAAATTTGAATTATAAATATTATTTATCCATTGTTTATGGATAGATTAATTAATTATTAATTATTTACTAATATGAAATATTTGATTTTAATTATTTCCAATTTGATTAAATTATTTTAAAATAAAATTTCATTAAGTTCCTTTTTAGTTGTCGGAAATTTAAATTATAAATAACAATTAGCGATTATTTACGAATAAATTAATTACTATTAATTATTTACTAATAGGAAGAAATTTTTATAGAATGCAAAGAAATATTTTAGTTTATATTTCTTTTTTTCGTTAAATTTTTCTCATTTTCGTTTTGGTTAGACTTTTTCTTAATTAATCAATCGTTTTCGATGTACTTTCCGCTTTCTTAAGCAAATTCCTTTCAATCTTATTTCCTTTGTTTCAATTGGAAAGCATAAAAAAAATGACAAATTGAAAAGTTTGAAATTTGAAGAGAAAATGAAAAAGCAAATTTGAAGAAAGAAGAAAAAGGATATAATTGGAATTTAAATATCGAAATTTATAAGGAATGTTTGGTTGTATTTGATATTTTGATAATTAACAGAAATTAATGAAATATTAAAAGCAAATTTCAAACAAAAGATATAATTGGAATTTAAATATCGAAATTTAACCGGAATGTTTGATTGTAAAATATTTGAAATTTTAACAATTAACAAAAATTAGTGAAATAAGAAAAGCAAATTTGAAAAGAAAGATATAGTTGGAATTTAAATATCGAAATTTAAAAGGAATGTTTTGTTGTAAAATATTTGAAATTTTGACAATTAATAGAAATTAATAAAATAATAAAAGTAAATTTCAAAAGAAAGATATAATTGGAATTTAAATATCGGAATTTAAAAGGAATGCTTTGTTGTAAAATAATTGAAATTTTGACAATTAACAAGAATTAATAAAATAATATATGTACACTTAATATAAGTGAAAAAAAAAATTACTAAAACTGTCAATAATGAATAAATTACTAAAAATTTTAATTAATTAAAAAGTATGCGTTCATTTTGTATTACAAAATTTAGTATGAAAAAATTGTGCATTTGTCATATTAATTAGTGTGAAATAGAATTAATTAATTAATTGTTGCGCTCAAATCTATTTTTCTACTCTCTTTCCAATGGGAGGATATTTTTGCGTCATTTCCTTTCTTTTTACGACAAATATTTGTTTATCTCTCAACAATTTATCTATTACCTAATCTTTTATCAATTCGGAAAATTCTTTATCAACAAAATTCATTTATTATCATTTATTCGCTTATCTATTGACAGTTTATCACTGTTGATATTGTTGATATTATCTATTCGATGAATTTCTTATAAAGATAGCAAAAGAGGAAAATCTTCGCTAAAAAGAAATAATGTTTGTAATAATTGGAAAGATCGATATAATAATGATATGATAAATATGATAAATGATATGATAAGCGTTAAAAAAGTTAGAGATAAAAAGAATCATGATTTTAACGGATGTCTTTTTCTTTTTGTTTTCTTCATGGTAAAACGAAAAACTTGTTTTTTTTTTCTTCTAACAAACATTTCTCATGTAATAGTGATAATTATGTGGTCATTATCGTAAAGGGAACAGCACTGATAAGATAAGCGATAAATGATGATAAATTGATGTTTGACATATAGCACATAGAAAAGAATTGAAGAAGTGTAGAATTTATGTAATAACATTGTCGTAAGAAAAGCAAAACAAAAAAAGCAAATAAGCGATATCAACATCCGGGTTTGATTCAATTAATTAACAATATCAACAACCGGGTTTGATTCAATTAATTAACAATATCAACAACCGGGTTTGATTCAATTAATTAACAATATCAACAGCCGGGTTTCATTCAATTAATTTCAAAAATTAGGCATATATTATTTTAATATTTGCAGTAATTTAATATCAAAACTTTATATCAGTATCAATTTATAATTGCTAGTAAATTTTAAGTAGTTAATCATTTTCAGTTTTAATTAAATCAAATTAATTAATCTTTTTTATTCTCAATTATTTATATTTTTTGAATTAATGATTTTAGAAATAAACCCTTTTCAGTACTATTTCAAAATTAATTTCTATTTACAGCTTAACAAATTAGATGATAATGGCTATATTCTTTTATAGTACGTCTTCTATATCACAAAATGATATAATTATTATTATTTTCTCCTATGAATCATTCATCTACTATTGTGTATTTTTATTCTAATGTAAATTATTATCAGTAAGTAAAATAATTTGATTAAATTTTATCATTATTAAAATATAAATAAAATAATTTAATTAACTAAACAGTTCTGCAAGTAAAATAATTTGATTAAATTTTATCGCAATTAAAATTTATCATAATTATCGTAATTATGACTTACCGTAATTAAAATATAAAATTGAAATTTTGTAATTAAATAAGAAAATCTTTGTGAAAAATTAATAATATGGTAGACAAATAAGTTAAAATTCCTGAAATATAAAATGAATAATTTTTAAATTTAAATTTTAATTTTGTCTATTCAATTTATTCAAATTTATATACCTCTTCTAATACATAATATAAGTTAAGTATATCAATAGTATCTTTTGTTTCAGATTGATTATAGAACGTGAGAAGAAAAAAAGTACATTTATGCAACAACGTTATCGGGATGATTCCGGATCGAGTGTTGATTCCGCTAGATATGATTTCTATTCATACGGTTCATATAAAAAAATGATAGAATGGTTACGATCATTAGCCAGTAAATATCCGAATTTTGTACGATATATATCAATTGGAAGATCTCATGAAAGACGTAGCATTGATGGTTTAGAGGTTTGTTAATAATTGAAATAATTACAATACTCTCTAATTGTTTTGCAAAATTTCGATATTTGCATAATTTCAAAATTTCAAATAACTATACTAATTAATAAATAAAAGAAAATGCTAATTTTGTAATCGTATATTTCTGAAGAAATATAAAGATTATTCTTTATTATCCTGGAATATTTATTGATAAGAAAATTTTTGAAATTATGCGCAGAACTTTAAGTTAATTCAAGTTCTTTAATTCTTATGATAGTAATCTCCTTTTCTTCCAACTAATTAATGGATGTTTATGAAATCATGCAATTTCTATTCTATTCTCTACCTGAATTTACAAAAATTAGAAAATGAAATTAGAAGAATATACGATGTTTCTTGCAATTCAATGTTAAGATGATAAAATCTGATAAGGTAAATAAACAAGCTATTATTATTTTCTGAATATTAGCAATAACATAATAATAACAATAATTTATTTTGCACCAATAATTATACTTTAATTTAATTAAAAAAAATTCAATAATTTTTGAGGGAAAAAGAAATTGAATAATTCAAATTCTTGCGCATACATTTTTCCTACTTCAAACTCATTATGATTTATTAGAAAATTTGTTTAAAAAAAAAACATAAATAATATGTAAAATTAATTAATAACAAAATTTGTTTGATCTAAATTATCAATTAATTAATTATCTGATTAATGAAGAAAATCGGGAAATTTTTTTTGTTAAAAAAAAGTGTCACAAAATTAAAATTTTTTCCTCATCAAAATTCTTTCGCTGTTTTTCTCTTCTCTTCATTTACCTTCTATAGATTCATACCGATATGTTGTTGCCTCTCTTTTCCATCTTTCACTATTCTTTTCATTTCCCGAAATAAACCAGCAATGATCGGTTGATTCTTCCCAACCATTTTTTTCAACAAATTAATCTATATCCATTCCATTCCATCCATTTCATCCATTTCATCCATTCATCCATTCAATTTTCCATTTTCTCAGCTCAAATTTGGCATGCATTTAAATTTTAATTATCAAATAGAATGAAAATTTTGGAGGAAAAGAAAAAAATGTTCAGGTATCAATAAAAAAAAATAATCATTAAACGATCCGTTGATTTATATATGGAAGATTAAAAATGGGATATGAATGAAATAATTTTACTGTAAAATTTTTTCCTCTTTTACATATGCAAATTATGTAGGATAAATAAACAGATCTCTATACCAGATGTAGAAAAAAGAATGATTTATGATTTTTAAAAAAAAATAAAAAGAAGAAAATGGAAAGATTTAAAAGAGGAGAACTTCAAAAGAAAATCAATTCAATAATACTACCATTGTCGTAAATCGTAAATGATAATGCTAGGGTGCAAATTTGATGAGGAAAATACTACCATTGTCGTAAATGATAATGATAAGGTGCAAATTTGATGAAGAAAATACTACCATTGTCGTAAATGATAATGATAAGGTGCAAATTTGATGAAGAAAATACTACCATTGTCGTAAATGATAATGATAAGGTGCAAATTTGATGAAGAAAATACTACCACTGTCGTAAATGATAATGATACGGTGCAAATTTGATGAAGAAAAAAAATTTAATATTTTCATATAAATGAATAATTATATTTGAATTGATCGATTACCAAAAAAATGAAGTTTGAAAGTTTCCATCGCTTACTAAGAAATTTGATTAAACTGTGATAGTAAACTATTTTTTAAATACCCGAAAGAAAAAAGTGTAGGATATAATTCTTTTGCTTATCTGTCGCAATCTGTTTTTATCTAAGAAATTATTGGATGCATTGTTTTTGAATTTAATAACTTCCCTATAATATTTGAAAATTTATTGAAATTGCAAATTTATAAGCGAAAGATGGATAAAAGAATCGATTCTATAATAATATTATAATAAATTAAGTATGTAATAATATAATAATGTTTAGTATAATAATAAGAGTATATAATAATATAATAATAAAAAGTATAATAATAATATTGATTGGATGATTTAAATCTGCTGACAACTTTCTATAAAATATCCTGTTATAGTTTTACTCACCTGCTTACTTTATTATTATACTTAATTTAATGTAGAACTTCGTTGTAAAGATTTATTACAGAATTTTTAAGTAATATTTTCATCTTTCAAATTTATCCACTGTATCTGCAGTAATAACAATGATAAGATATTGATTTTTTTTTGAAATTTCTTTTCATTCTAGCAAATTTCATTTTAATAATTCGAATGGAGAGTTTTAGATCAATTTAAAAACGTTGAAATAAAAATTTTAGATCGGTGGAAATAATCAATCAAAACGGGTATTCTGGATTGATGGTGGTATTCACGCACGTGAATGGGCCGCACCACATACAGCCTTATATTTCATTCATCAGCTAACATCAAAATATGGATATGATAAAGATATTACAAGATATGTTGACGAATTAACCTGGGTTATAGTACCATGCTTAAATCCTGATGGATACGAATATACACGATCCTCAACCAATCCAAATGTTAGCAATTTATAAGTGGAGATAAAACAAATAATTTAATCAATTAGGTATCAAAATAATTAAATGGATTTATTCACGAAAATGAATTCAATTTAATCCATTTCTTAATTGCTGGAGTAATTCCATCAACTCAAGAAAACGTTAGCTATTTGATTAAATTTCAAAAGCATAAGGAAACGTAAGTTAACATTTCATAATAATTCAAAATCTATTTTACGCATCAAATAGATACGTTTTTCAAACATTACCAATTTTCATTAATAATGATAGATAGGACTCAATCTATTTTATTAATCAAATATATATGATTCTTCAAATATTGCCAATTTTATCAGTAGTGGTAGGTAGTAGGATTCTTCACGTAATAATTTATGCTACGTGCGTCAACTTTGCATGTGCACAATATAACGAAATCGTAGTACTTTAAATGTCAAAATTCTGTATTTCAGATTCGATTATGGCGTAAAAATCGTTCGCCATTTGTTTGTGCAAAAGATCCATGGGAACGTAATCGTTGCTGTCGTGGTGTCGATTTAAATCGGAATTTTGATTTTCATTTTAAAGGTAATTCAAAATTTATGGGATAAAAATATCCGCTTTAATGATTTTCTCCTAAATTTTAAAAACTTATCGATTAATATTTTTTAATCTCATTAACGTATCGTTTGAAGTAGACGTATTACCATTTTATACATAAAATTTATGACATTCTTGCAAACTGGGATCAAATTTAATAGTTGTGAAATAAAATAATAACATTCTAGAATTTGAAAATTCTAGAAAGCGGTTCAAGTGATGATCCATGTGCTGAAATTTATCAAGGTAAATCAGCTTTCAGTGAACCGGAAACAAGGTTTGCTTGTGGTTATTATAAACAGAAAAAAATTTTAATTTTGAAATACTTCCACTAAAATTTAAAATTCTAAATACAGTACGATACAGTATCCCAAATCATTTTTACATTTTAGTTCGTTGAAATTAAGAATAATGGCAAAATAGATTTAGTCATTAATATCATAATTATCTCTTACAATTGAATTTTTTCAAAATTCAACTAAACAAGTTTGAAAGTTCAAAAATCTCATCAATTTAATTTTACCTTTACTCGTAATTTTTCTCTCTCATACTGCACGAGATTTCCTCCGTATTCTATCATTATCATTCTTCAATCTTAGTTTGATTATTATTGATGTAGAAAAAATGATCATCAAATACTGTCTCTTTTAGGGCTGTACGTGATGCAGTAATGTCATCTCGTTACCGCGGTCGTATTGATGCTTTTGTAACATTACATACTTATTCACAAATTTGGATTCATCCATATGGTCATCGTAAGGATACCTATCCTGGTGATATACAGGATTTGGTCTGTTTTGTTAATTTTAAATTTTGTAGAAATACCCGAAACTCTTTTAAATTTCATTATTTAATACTGAAGAACATTCCCTAAAAAAAGATCAGAAAAACTATCCAAACACTAATTTCTTTATTTCACTGTTTCACTTTTGTTTTTCTTTAAATTAATGATCATATATTCGATAACAGTTTAATTTCAATTTGAATTCATTTATGATGAAAATTTCCTCCAAACAATTTCGATTAGTAGCTATCGATTTTGATGGAGACAAATTTTGAAGTTCAAACATCATTTTATTAGTTTATATTATTAAAGAATTGTTATTATTGTTGAAGTATGAAATTGGCAAGAAAGCAACAAATGCACTTAGCAAACTTTATGGCACAAAATATGTTGTTGGTAGTGGAGCCGATACATTATGTTTGTTTATTTCTCCAAGCTGACAGTAACAAACATTTTCATTTCAAATAAAATTTTTCAATTCTATTCCCGAAATCTGAAATAATTTTTTGCAATTATATAACTTTATTAGTAATATTATGATAGCTAAATGAAACTTTTCCAATCACTTATTCAATTAGAATAAAATATTTGCCATTTCATTGTCTAATCAGATAAAGCCACAGGTGCAAAATTTGGATTAATTCCAGCATAAATTATGTATTTTACGTAATTTGAATATTTATTTAGATCCGGCATCTGGTGGTTCTGAAGATTGGGCGAAACAAACAGCAGGTGTAAAATATGTATACTTGTTGGAATTACGACCTGACGAAAAAAGTATGTTTTAAAGCATTTATTGATATTACTAATCTTCCTTATCATATTATCTACAAGGGAAAGGAAAAGCATCTGTCTAATACGTATTTATGATTACTGAAGTTATTGAGCAACTAATTTATATAGTATTTCAGTCGTTATTAAATTAGATTACGAAAAATATTATTTATAATTAATGAATCCGATATGAATTATTTCCAACACTTTTTTCTGCATCATTAAGCTTAATTGTATTTATCAAATGTGAAGAACCGAAAAATTGATAGGAATTGCCGTTAATAAGATTGCATTTTGAAGATTGGGATGGATTTATCCTCGATGAACGACAACTGGTACCAACAGCAGCCGAAACTTGGGCTGGTATACGGGTAGTTGCCGATGCGGTGATCGAACGAGCACGTCGAAAAAATGCCAGAATTAATGGTATTAACAGAATTTCCAAAATTCCCGCTCATCGTGGCTAGATTTGGATAATGAAACGCCTGATATATCACATGCTTGATATACATGCATCATTTTTGGAATTTGAAAATCCTAAATAGAAACCTTCAGTTATTTCATTCTTTTGGTTGAGAAGAAAAAGTTTTTATATAAAGTATTAGACAGAGAAACATAGAAGATATATCTCTGAAAGGGAGAAAGAAAAAAAAAGGAAAGAATAAGGTTGGATTTGATCGATTTAATTACACTTTTTATCAAATTCACCTTTATCTATTGATGCAAACGATATCAGGTAAAGCTGAGAATTATTTCATAATTCATTAATTGTAGCTAAATCCTATATTCCCTTTTCCATTCATATCATTAAATGAACATAAACATTCATTTTCATCGTTTCATCTACAAAATATATTAAAGCTGATCAAAAAAAAAATCAAAAGTTTTGCTAGCAATTGTCAGGGATAATGAATTATAACGAATCCTAGCAATTCTAGCTATTATCACTTTATATCACACAGTTTATGAATTCTATTACATTTTGGGCATTTGTTTTATCATTTCGATAAAGCAGCCATTTGTTGTGTGCTACATTTATGACCATTTTATCAATTAAACACATATGCAAATGTTTTCAAACAACGCGCGCAATATTATCTGATGCCGCATTTGTTGCTGAAGCTATCGAAAAAATGCAGAGAAAGGGCAACTGTGGGGTAATATAGTTGATTACTCCAATTACTTTTACCCTGAGAAGTGCAGAAAACAAGAATAAATATAAATAGTTCGAAACTGAAGGGAAAATTTGAGCAAATCAAATTTAACATCAAGAAATTTCTGTTATATGTTTTTTTAATTTTCTATGTCTTCTTGTTTAACTTCAATACTAACAGCCATAATCCAATTTTACTTTATATTTTTTCCTACATTTTTTTTCCTCATTTATTTCTATCTCAACTTATTCAACATTAATATTTGGCATAACTCTCAATTAAACTTCTCCCTCTTCCTTTTCTCTAAATTCTGCTGAAAAAAAATTTTTTTAGGTACCATCAAACAGCAATATCGCTTCGGAAACGGCAGTACTGGCTCATGCTATGATTTACGTCATGCGTGCAAACGATGGGTACGGCAAAAAGAGTCCATCTGCCAAACGGTACCAATTTTTATGCGAGAACAGTGCGCCTATTCATGTGGTCACTGCTGATAAACAAGAAGGCTGAAACAAACTGGATTAACGAGCTCTTTCAAGTGTAAAAACAAGCAATTGCGCTTCGTTAAAATAGAATAGTGTAACATAAAGTACAATAAAGTAATTTTTAAGACATTATCAAAATCATCAATTCTGTTATCAAAAAAAAATAATTCATTTGACATTAAAACAAAGCATTTTATATAACAATTCTTTTCCAATTTTAAATTTGGTTAAAATTTTTAAATTACAAAACGATTGGAAAAACATCAGAGTGGTCACATATCCAGTCATGTTTATACAGTATTCACAATCAGTTTCCTGCACTCCAAATTATGAGTAACAGAATTATGCAATAAGCAATTTGATTCAAAAGTTTAAATAATAGAAGTGAAGATCATTAGAAAACTATTTTAATAAACGAGTTAGATCAAACTCGTTTTAAAAATTTTTCCTTCATTGATAAGATTAAACATCAACGACTACATAAGGCTTTAGCAGCAACAGGTTCCATCAATTTTGGATCTATTGAACGATGTACTGCTGACGAAATAATTTCATCGATTAATGAAAGCGCAATTTGTTCATCTGTCAAATGGCGCCATAAATTCTGCCGCAAAAAGCAACAATCCACCTACCAATTATACAAATTATGAGTATAAAATGATCAAATTACTTGAATTTAAAGAATGATCCAATTGAAATTATTTTCCTGTGGCGCTGCGCGATCAACCCAACCCAAAAATAAAATACAAAAATACTTTTATCCATTTTTAAGAATAAATGAGAGAGTTCCCCATAAAGAAAAAAAAAACCTGGATTTGTTGCAAACCAAATCTGGAAAAAATCTGCAGCCGGACGCATTCAAGAAAGGATTTCAAGGCAATATTAACAATGGCCGTTAAGATCGACATTCGATTGAACTGCAAATAGAAAGTGGGCGAAAATTGAAAATATTTAAAAAAACAGTAAACCTCTTGTTATGCCACATTAAAAATTTCTTAGTGATAATTTATAATAAATGTTTCACAAAAGTAACTAACGCATGAGAATCAGACACTTGAAATTAGACTTCATGTTCGTACGACGAAGTAGTAAATTTTATTGCTGAAAATCTGCAAGCTTCTTTTTGAAACCTAACTTGTCCTCAACTATATGCACTTTTTTATCCAATTTCTGTGAAATTTATGAGAAAAAATTATTATTAAAACGCTAATGTTAAAATGAAAATATAATATTAAAATGCTTACTTCCACATTTGTACAAAAATCTATCCTTTCGGACCATAACTTATCCAATGCTGAGCTAATTGAGCATGTGTCGAATGTTCGCCTTGAGTGCGAACGGGAAGAACTATTTTCCAACAGCCGTTCTTTACGAGTACCCTCATCCATCTAAAAAAAAAATTCAAAATTTATTCGATTATCAGAACTGACTCAATAGTCATTATATTCGCATAATAGATTTTATAAAATATGAGCCAATGGAGGTTGCATGATATCATCCTTTGATTATTTATTTTAATTCCTTATAGCAAAAGTTTTCATAAAATAACAAATAATCATTCTAACAGAATTTGAAAGAAAATAAAATATAAAAAATACAAAAAAAACTGGAGACAGAAAATAGAAGGTGGTCATTGTGATTGTTACTTGATCGTTAGTTTAAAAATAAGTTGGAAAAGTTCCGTCATCTCATATCACAATACTATCAGGAGTAATAACATTATTGTATTTCTGATATGTTATTTACCATTATGACTTATTTAATCATTTATTGATCACATTCACAGCATACAGCACTATTCTCTCAACTTGAAGAAAACTTCGTAAGTTGATCACGCCGCATTTCAACATCTCCACATCTGATAATTTCTCATATCACAGTGAGATATCTACATAGATATTTTATAAAATACTTACAAAGGGCTTAATAGCTGAATCGATGGAAGCTAAATCGTCGATAAAATGCTTCACAGCAGATCTGACTGCTGTTGGTTCAGCGCAACTTAACCAATCTCGAGATTCAATACTGCGTATTAGAACCTTAAGGAACAAATTTTAAATAGAATCACAACAAAGTGAATTCTTATCTTTCAATATAGAAAAAAACACAAAATAGAAACCATATTACCACAATTTGACCGCAAAACGAGCATCTGCTCTTCAGCGGTAAAAATATTTCCTCCTATGATGTTCACTTATGCGAGCATTTTTTCTCGATCTTGAAAATACGTAGAAGAATAATTTCCAGAAAATGGATTTTAATGAGTTATGTTTTAAAAGAAAAACTTGTCAACATAAAAGGAACACAGCTAGAACCATGCTTTTCTATATTGCTGCAGCTTTTTAAACTTATATTTCATATATATTTTTTAGATTTTCAACATGCCTCGGAAGTATTAATTCCTTGAAGATAGACGTAATATTTTAGAAGTTCATAAGCAGCTGTGCGTAAGCGAACTCTCACTTTTTCAACCGAGCTCAACCGTGATTTTTCTCCTTTTTCTCTCTCTGCTACCAATCTAAAAATCAGTTTCCATTCATTTGCCAATTCATCTTGATAAACAAATAAATTTATCAGTATCCGAACTGTAGAAAACTTAATGAAGAGAGGTGGCTCAACAGTTGACGTCGAAGGACTTTTTCTCTGGAAATTTAATTTATCGAGAAAAAAATATGGAAGGATGGAACAGCCATAGCAATCCCAATTGAAAACTACCATTAGATGAAAAATCATATATTTTTAGGTGAAAAGCCCTTTTATTTTGCATTTCAATCGAAGTACAAGGATCTCCATCAAGAGATGATATGACATGCAACAAAGGATCCATAACTTCAATAAATATCAGTATACGAAGTATAAAAATTAACAAATGGACTTTTCAACATAGCATATATATATATATATATATATATATATATATGAGCTAACGTAATGCAGCGCTCGATTGAAGGAAACTTGAGCAATGAATTACTTGAATTTTTTTGCTTTATGCTGTTTTAATTGAGAAAAAAAAGAAGGAAAAGAAAGTGATTCCGAAAGGAAACTAAGTAAAAACCAAAATGAAGCAAAAATTTATGAAACCTGAATTGCTCCTGACACAAATTCATGATATAAGCCACAGAGTGACTTTCGATGCTGATGAAAAATTGTGCTAAAACGATGTAAACAAAGGGTAATGGTGGCATCGCTTGATTCATAACGTCACAGTACTTCAGACCTAATTGAGCTATCTCATCCAGAGATTTTACAACCAATAATTCGTGAACATCAATACCAAAACCAAGCGAAAATTGAACTGAAAATATAAATGGAACGATGAAAAATTAATAGAACTTGAAATACTCCTAGCACAGATTCATGGTATAAACTGCAAGATAAAACTTGATGCTCATGCTTTTTTCGGTAAAAAAATTTTATATTAAGAAAGCCTGGTCTGGATATGATATGAATGATTAATCTCATTTGAAAAGTAGAAGTTTAGTGGAATCAGAAATAACAATGCTCCAGCACTAAAAAACATTGTAGCAAATGCTTGGTTAGCCTCTTAGACATGAATTTCTTCGAATATAATTGAAGTTAATAAGGATAAAAAGTTACCTTGATCAAGTGATGAAAACGTCATATCAGAAGCGGTGAAAAGAAGCAAGGACGCAAGAGCTGTTTTGATTTGAACAAGAAGGGAATGTTCCAATCGAGAAATTATGTCGCTTAGTGCTGCTTTATTCGAAAAAGATATTTCCGGCGCAGTTAGTTCTTCTTGAATCTAAAATATTCTCATGTTACCGATGAAGATGTGGAGAGAGCAACAAATTTAAGTCAATATTTAATAATTAGTAAATGAACAACAAAGCAATTGCATAAGGTTTTCACTTTTAAAGAAAAAAGTAAGCCTAAACCTCTTGCAAAGACGAACCAACACGCTCCACAACTTGACTTTGTGCGAGTTCTATTTCATGCCTTGAAACGATATTTAACATGGAAATACACAATGGAAAATAATCCATACCTAAAATTTGAGGATCGAAGTATGATAGATGCGAAAGTTGAAACACCTTTTATAAAAAACTAGAGAATCATTCATATTAACTTTTCACTTATATAAGCACAAAAGAATTTTTAAACTCGAAAAATATCAAAAACACTACAGAGTTAGAAATATACGGTAATTAAAAAACAAGAACTAACCACGTATAAGTTGGTTACAGGATGACATACGACGGTAAAAACGATCAAGAGCCCGTACAACAATAGCGCATTCTGCAGCATCTGTTTCTTTCAAAAAACGCACCCTAACAACTTCCTCAAACTGATTCATTAGCGAGTCCATCAATTCATTTACATTACCAGCTATTACCTGGAATAGTAAGTAACTTAACTCACTGAATTTTTCGAAATAAATTTTTAACCTCAGCATTAAATCTTGTTATGTAGGACATAGTTGTACAGTAACTTTCAAAAACATTCACGATTTAGATGCAAAACCAATCTGTTTAGACGACATAACAATTAACTTACTTTATGAGAAAGAATATTTCTGGAAGTTTTCATATCGTTACAAGATTTAAACAAACTGAAATCAGACGATAGTCGATAGCATGAAGAAAACAAGGATTTTAAATATAAATTTCAACCTCATTTGGGAAAAAACGTTGATTTATTGTTGTGACTAATGACAAATCCGTTAAGAAGGTGCTGCAACAATTATCCACAAATTCCAGAACATCTGCTGCATCCTAAAAGATCATCTGAATAGAGAAGAACCTGTTGTATTTAATACCAGTCCAGTGAGCTTTAATTAAATTTCATTATGAACCTGTCTCTGTGTTCGCATTGCTTTAAGCTGATCACTTAAATTACGCTTGCAACTGTCCAGAAAATCATTGTAAACAGTCGACGATTGAACGCCCAACTTAAGGAGTAAACTTATTCCTTGTGAAAGTTCATCAGATGAAATGAGACAACCACAAACGATTTGTTTCAACTAAAATAAATCATGAAGAGAGCATGAAATAATAAAACAAAAATTAAAACGATATAAATAATAGACGGAGCCACAAAAATTAATTTAAAGTTCTCTTGAAAAAGACCAACTTAAATTGACTAAAAAAATATGCTGAAAGCATCATTAAAAAAAAATTGTACGATCTGAAATTATAATTAAAATAAGATCAACCTGGTCCTCAACTGTGCTCATTATAGTAACTGCTTCATCGTAAATATCAGAAATTGAAGGTATGTCTTTGCAGAGTGAAAGAGATGGTCGTGCCTTTAAATAAATTTTCACTGCTTCCTCGTAATTCTTCTCCTCGACTAAGGCCTAGTAAAAAAAACAAGATAATTGAAGAAAAAGTAAGTATAGCCATATCCTTCGAGAGTTTTTTTAAATATTTAATTGCTTAAGAAAATTCAAGGAAAATCCCTGAATCACTCACTTGTAACTTTTGTGGCAAGCATAGCAAAAACTGCAAGCCCATCATTTTTTTATTAGCATCAGAGAGTTGTGATACATTTGCACGATGCTTGCTAAATACTGAAGAAAGATCCTTCGACAATGTTGCTATTTTGCCCATTCGTTTCGATAAGTTCTCCATTTTCTAGAAGAAATTTACAAATGAACCAGTGCGAAGATCTGCAACAAAAGAAGAAATTCCGTACTATATGTCCATAGAAAGCAGAGCAGAGATTAAAGCAGAGCAGAAATTCTTTGATCTCACCGATTTGAGAATTATCTAAAATATACTGTGCGGCCAATATATCTAATCTCATAATAATATTCAACCGGTAGTTTAAATTATTACTTTCGCCCAACTCAATTTTCCAATTTTCCACTTCATCTCTTTTTCCTTGTAATAATGAAGTATTTAAATTTTCACTGAATCAGATGTTAGAGAAATAACATTTTGTGATCGAAGCATAGGATTTATTATAAGACAAAACTGTAAATTAAACCTAAATTTATAGGCAGATTATCAGAATAGAAAATATATATTATGAATAAGGAATTATTCAGAACATAGACTTAAATGTCCCCACATTTCAGAATTTATCCGGAAAATAAAAAGTAACTACAATATTCGTAAGATAAGATTAACTGACTTGGCCCATTTCCATGAAATCATTTTGCATTTTCTTCACCGTGGTTGTTGCTGTGAGGAATTTGTTGTAATTTTCGTAGACAAGCTGTTGCATTTCAGAATCAAGCCTTCTAACCTAAAGAATTATCCGTAGCAATCGAGAATATTATATAATCAAATGGAAAAAACGAAAGAAATTTTATCAAATCCTATTTTCCTTTTTAATCGAAATTCCAAACAATCGGAGCTATGATACATATCTTGACACAAAACTATATAATAAATTTATTATTTCAATTCATAATTTAAAGAAATGGAATTTTTAAAGCAATTCAAAACTCGAACATTTTCTAAAAAGATGAAAATTAAATTATGAAGCCGCTAAGTTTTTTATTATAAATCAAAATTCAAAATAACTAACATTATGAATCATATCTTCTTCTACTTGAACCAATTCATCCAAATTTTTCTTCCGAAATAAATCATTTAGATATGCCTCGCTACTGAAATTTGTTGAACTAATATCTAACGGGTCATCCTTATCCTTGTTTCCATCTTTTTTATCATTCATTATCGTTCCTTATAATCCTGAAATAGTTTTTATTAAGTTAGGATAAAGTAACTAATAACCGATGGAAAACTAGTTAGTAACTTACAAGTGATTATTAGTTATACGCAACTTTTGAATAATAATCAATAAGCGATAATAACAAAGATAATAATCTGTAAATAATTAACAATGTAATTGCCAAATTAAACAGTGCAGTGATATGGAAAGTAAACTATAAGAAACAAATAGCAATAAATTAATTGCTAGAAAAATACGTCAGTTTCTAAATCACCTATAAATACTCAATAAAACGATTTATGCTGCAGTTGTCAGCCAGAAAACGAGAAAACTAGCGCACGGAGATGAATGTAAAACATCGTCTAAAATCGTAGTAATAATAGTTGTAGTGGCAGGAACCGATTAAGAACGACATTCATCCGAAAGTTTTCATTATAGACCAATTAAATTAACGGGCCGTCAGTCGCTTTGGTGGTTTAATTTTTCATTGCGTTTATGCTTGCTGGCATTTGAAATTGTGTGTACTTTCAATTTTATGAGCCGCTATCGGTCCGTTAAAATTATTGATACATTAGTAAAACTTTTTGGATAATTTTCCGGAATTTTTATTTATGAAATATTATTTTTAATTTAATTCGCAACATATAGCTATGTATAAATTTAATTTTATGATTTTTAAATTGAACTTTTTCATTTCTGTTCAATTTTGTTTAATGTAAAATTTTTCTAATTTTCTTTTTTTGGAGCTTAGATCGATGAAATCGATGATATCTGGACGTTTTATGTGGACTGATTGTATCATTCGCAATTTTGTCGTTACTTAAGCATTATCAAATTTATATTTACATCACCACCATCATCATTATATTTGCATCACCGCTATAATTTATATTTGCATCACCCGAATAGATGCAGCGTGGAGTGTTATCCGTTATAATATAACATTAGTCCCAAGATCTGAACACATGTTTTCTGTGGCTCTTTTGGATTTTATTGTCACGGACTCATATTATTACTGACTTTTGTTTCAAATTTTTTCAACAAAATAAATATCTAGGAAGGTTTTAGTGTATCGGTCTAGATACGAGGTATTGTCTTTGGTATTAATGAGTATTGTAAATTTGTTATCTGGTCATGATACGATTTATCAAACAGATATGTTATAATGCAAATTTCTAAGAAATTTTTTAATAACGCCAGCTATCAAATCATTTCGCTTGATTGTCATCTCATTTGTCGTTGTCACCGCATTTACACATCATATATTAAATAAATATCAGCTGACAATGTCCTTGTGTAAGCGAGTGAATTATGCTACTTTAGCTTTAGTTGGCATTAATAAAAAAAAAGTTTTTTGGAAGCTTGTATTATAACATACTGGTTTAATCATATCATTACCGGATAACAGTGTCATTGTGTAAGCGAGTGAATTATGCTACTTTACTAGATAATCATCTGAAAATACTAATCATTTTGTTTATTTCCGTATCGTTACAGACATTTCCATACAATATATACACGCTTATACATGCAGCGATGATACAAACATAATGATACATACATAATATACGTACACATGTTTGCGTTATTCTATTCTCTTTTTTTGAATTTTGTTCGGATTAATTCCGTTTAAGACGTAAAAAAATCCAAATTTAAATCTTGATTGACATTAACAAAAGAAGCAATGACGACTGTCCGGATTCATCTTTGATAGACAAAGTTATCTCTTAACGTGAGAAAGTTGTTCGTTTCACTTTAACTGTAATGTTTATCTCATATTATTATGACTTGAATTTTTTTAGATGAGTGCTAGCAGCGCAACCGTCGTAACGCAGCGTTTAGCTCCGAAACGTCAAACGCTGGATGAGGCATACGCACCACCGGCGAATTTTCTAGAAATTGAAGTGATCAATCCAATAACTCATGGCGTTGGAAAAACGCGCTATACCGATTATGAAATTCGGCTGAGGGTAATATATTCATATCAGATTGCCAAAAGATACATAGAAACGAATTTCAATAAAGCTACCGAAAATTTGGAGTTTTTTCCAATATTTGTTTTAAATTTTCAAGCTCCTTTAATCGCCCACTTCACTTACATGGATTCGATTATGTGTAGGATACTGGTTCCGTCAATTATTTTGTCTTCATAGATGTTCCATAACTACTTTAACTGCTGTGATATAGAAAATTTTCCCTGATTTCTGGGGTGTATTTTATGGTATATTGAAATGTTATCTATTACCACCAACTTATATAAAACTAACTTATATATAGTGAAATAAGTTTTATTTGATTTCATTGTAATTGTTTCATGAGTAACTACATGGTTCTAGTTTGTATAATAAACTATAAATAGTAGAAATTAGGAAATTATAATGTATAAAATTGTAATTTATTGTGCCAATTTAGTTCTTCCGACTGCCTGATTACGCTTAATCGTTGCTGTTTAATACTTCTATAAGTTTTTTGAAGGTTATTTTATGGAATTTTTTCTGCGTGCTTCATGTTAAATAGCTATATTGAATTGCAGACAAATTTGCCAATATTCAAGCATAAAGAATCAAGTGTTCGTCGTCGTTATTCCGATTTCGAATGGCTTCGAGGTGAATTAGAACGTGACAGTAAGGTATATTGCTGTTATTACTGATTAAGATTTCATTCAAAAAAATTGTGCTGAGCAAGTATCGTTGTTTTGAAACATTATTTTTTCGCTGTAAAACATTTTAATTGATGAATTATCTGCAAAACTTGCATACCTCATGACGGTTGTCGGCAATTCAGCATGGCTAGGAGTTAAGAATTAGTAACTTCAGCGAGGTAATAAACATCTGCCTACATGTTCATCAGTAAGTGTTAAAATCACCGAATCCCTTAACATTTTCACGGATCATATTGAATGATCGAGTCATTAAATGTTATTTTTTAACATTCATTTTTCCATGATTGCGTCATGTATTTTAATTACTTTAGATTGTTGTACCAACATTGCCTGGTAAGGCACTCAAGCGGCAACTGCCCTTTCGTTCGGACGATGGGATATTCGAGGATTCATTTATTGAGGACAGGAGGAAGGGCTTGGAACTATTCATCAACAAGTAATATTTCATGTTAAAGTTTTTTTCTTAATATCTAGCTCTATGGTCTCGTAAGATCAGATCTGAAATACTTATGGAAGTCATATCATTATATTGTTCTTATGAAATTTATAGAGGAAGTTTTAATTTTCGTGCATCTAAACTCTGCATCCAAATTTTATACTTTTATGCTGGAGTGGATAAAGGATTTTTGCACTTTTATCCACACTATTTTCCAGTTCCACTTTCCATTGTAGGATATTGCACAAGGTTCCGTTCTTCTGGATGTGGGAAGTATGCAAAAAAGGATTGACCCACTCCATTAGCACGGCATATTTAATATAACTTTGATATATCGTAATTGTAAAATTGCATAGGTTTTTAAATAAATGCAGCAGTTTCTTTGCAGAGTTGCTGGACATCCACTTGCACAAAACGAACGATGCTTGCATATCTTTCTACAGGAACCAATAATTGACAAGCATTATGTTCCAGGCAAAATCCGTCTCGCATAAATGTTTGCACTAATTTATCATGGTTCATTAAAACATAGCCATGAAGCCAGTTGTGTTATTTTTTTATTAGAACGAAATTTTAGGCTTCACTGAAGCAATCATCATTTTTTGCGATTGAAAAATGCATAAAGTTTGTTACTTATTGTTATTAACATTATTACAAATGATGTCTTACATTTTGTCTTCACCTCGTTTTAAGAAAAATCAGTAGTGAAATAAATTGGTTATATTTGTCATCGCTTTGGCATGTTTTATCATGATAACGAAGCGATTTACACATTGCTGTGCGACATTGGAGGTTGACTATAAATGTATCTGTCAAGTATTCATAATTCATATCTATGGGTAGAAACACAGTAACTCTTTAAACGGTTAATATAAACTCTAAAAATGTGAAGCGTAGTTGATGGACGAACTGACTTCTGTGATACCTCACTTTAAACTGTGGTTACTTTGTCAAGTGCCTTTTTTACTATTATCTGTGTGATTAAAAATATTAATTTGATAAGAAAGTAGATAGGATTGTCGACATCACTGATGGTTGAGGTGAGGTAGATAACGCTGTTTACTACGTTTCTACCCTTTCATATATATATTTATGCAATTTAATCTTGCATTTTTTGTGCTCCTTTTTCTTTTCTTCATCTTTTTATCCAATTACTTTTTCCTGTTTCATTACATAAAATTTTGACAGTAACGGAATTTCATCGAAGTTTTGTGTAGAAATAAGAAAATATTCCTTCTTTTTCATAGACAAAAACACGATTCATGTGTTATGTTTCATATTCTTGTGATTTCTGTATTATTACTAGGAAGAGTTCGTTGTTAGCATCTACAACCAATATCCCGAATATGGAGTCATTTCGTGAAGTTTTTTTCCTTCTAACTTATATATATATAAATTTAAATTTTTGAAGTTGAATTACAGTTGAATTACTTTTCCCTTACTTTCATATTTTGTGTTTCTGTCCATTGTAATCAGTCAACAATGGTTAATGTTTCAGAACCATTCGATCAACCAGCTGGACCACCACGTTTCCTGAAATGTCTGCGCG